AAAAAAAAAAAAAAAAAAAAAAAAAAAAATCGAACAGCAATCATTTTGAGTGCTACAAAATTTTGAAATCGTATTAACAAAACATAACATCAAAAAAGAGTAGCCAGAACCGGGTATTCACTTACTGTCAACGCCATTAATTAACAAAATCTGAAATTTTTGGTAAGGCAATGGAAGACAAAAAAATGTCACATAGAAATCAGCTAACAAATTTGTTCCAAAATTTTGAAATCGTATTACCAAATCCCACAAAATCCGAAAAAGAGTACCAAATATCGAAATGCTTATGAAATACATAATTTATGTTATTCATTAATTTAATGTTTTTTAATTAAACGGGTGGGACCTACATATTTATTGCCTAATTTAGTATTTATTACTTAAAGAAGAAAGTCAAAGCTTTATTTTTTAAGGTCAACCTTACTATTTTTGTAATTTTCCAACAACCTCTTTATATTACTATAGATACGATAATATATCTTTTTGCTATATTTTAAAAAGTTAATAACTTCTTTGTTTATGTTCTACTTACATTACATATTATGTATTGAATTAATAATATTCAAGTTGACAATCATGAAATTATATGGGAGTATTAAATTTGTTGTACACTAAAAACGTAAATTCATATAAATTTATGAAAGTCAATAAGTAAAAACGAATTTTCAGGAGTGCATCATGTTTATTCAATAAGTACACATATGAATTACAAACCTTAACTTCAATGTAGACAACCTACTTTGGAATTAACTAACTTAAGTAGTCTTAGAGCATCTCCAACCTCAACTGTAAACAACGGAAACGGCATGGTTCGAGGGAATTCACCTCCAACCAGCCCTCTATATCTGGCGGAAACGACTATTGATTTTGTGGTACGATTGTCACACTGTTCCACTTGTTCACCTTCTTAAACTTTTATTTTATTTTATTTTTTGTTAAAAATGAAACTGCGTTATATTTTGGGCTCATTTAGATTTATTGTGGTTGGGCTTTTATTTAACTACAATTGAGCTAATTGAATTAAAAGTTTCATTAGTTGAATTAAAATATTTTATAAATGTTTTAAACATAATTATTGTAATTAATATGGTAAAATTTTAAGTAGTGTAATGAAAAATATATCATATTAATTAATATGATAAGAATATTAATTAGTATTTAAATTTACTTAAATAAATATTTCAAACTCACAAGTTTAAATTGCAAAATAAGAATCAACATGCAATAAATAGTGTTGTGTATTTTGTTTTCCGTAGTCGTTATTGTATTGAATACTTCTTGTTCGTGTTGATGTTTTTTTAAAAATTAATATTTGTGATGAAATCCGCGTGGTTTGATGATGTAATGTGTAATTTTATGATTTTAATTTAAGTTTATTAATTAATCTTATTAATAGATATTTAATATTTATACATAATGTAAATTGTGTATGCAAGCTTAATGCATTAAAATGTAACTTGTAAATATTATTTAATAAACTAATAAGATTAGAAAATAATATGATCGAAATATTCTTTTAAAGGAGAATTATAGAGGGAATGAGTTGGAGTTGTTGACACTGTTGAAACTGTAAAACTAGTAAAATTTCACTGCAGAAACTGTAAATTTAGAGAGTATGGTTGGAGATGCTCTTATGACAACGTTGTAGTTAGAGTGCACGTACAGTCCCTTCAAATACTATGATGATACTCGTCCCAAACATCCAGTAGAAAAATGAAAATATTGTTCGAATTCCAAACAATGAACTTTAATCCAATTTCTAACTATGAATCAAAGCAAACTCATGAGATATCTAACAATATTCTCTCAAGTATCCAGTATGATCAATAGTGTATGCTTGCATAATCCAAAACTCGTGAAAACTAACATATATTCAACTATAGTTATGTGGAGTTTTTAAATTTATGTAAATTTCATAGTTAGAACATATGAAAAGAAAAGAGAATGTTATTATTTTATTATTATTAATTTATTAATTTTTTTAAAAAAATTAATACAAAAATAATTAGATGAATATGACACAATAAAATGACAGGTGATAATATCATAATTTCGACTAATTTTAACGCTTTCAATATATTATACTAAGGCGCATCCGTTTTCTTGCTGCTTCGAAAAGAAAAAAAACAGATGAGAGGTAGCAATTTAATAATATATAATCATAATATACAATATCATTATGTTTCAATAGAGTTTTGAAAAAGTTTAAGTTTAATTTATAAAGTTGTAGATAATAATTTTGTAAACATTGATATTTTTTGTTTTATGAAATGTGATCAAAATATAAACTTTTTGATAAATTAAGTGGGCACAATAATCATCTACGTTCTATTTGGCCTATCTAGGGACTAGGGTGCATTTGGTAAACTGCACTTCGACTGTGAGGGCTTATTCGTAATTTCAAATACCTAGGGTTTTTGACATAAGCACACACACTCTGATAAAGGCTTAGCTCAAGTCGCTCGTCTTTCATTCTTGCTGCCTGGTAGCGTCTTGCCGGAGATCAATCGGAGCATTAAGATCATCCACCGGAAACCATGGGTAATTCATCAATTTCCTCTCCTCCATTGTTCTTTACTTACTGTACCTGTAAATCTATTGGACCTTATTTCGTAAAGAGAGTGACGAAAATGATATTTGGTCCCCAGGTATTTCTCGGGACTCCATGCATAAGAGGCGCGCCACCGGCGGGAAGAAGAAGGCTTGGAGGAAGAAGAGAAAGTAAGATGAACCCATTATCTGCATTGTTCTGAATTTTGGTTTAGTGTGTGTGTTTTGGATTTTATCTGAATGATTCGAATTGTGACATTTTTCTATTTTTTTTTATTAATTTTTCATGTAACCTGTTTCGTTCAAAAATTGGCAGCACATTGGTCTTGTGCACAATTTCATATGATTTGTTGTGTTTTTTTTTTTTTTATGGGTTCCTCAATTGTGTTGATATCTTCAATTCCATTAGTTGTGTAGCATAATCAGCCAAAACACAGAATGTGATCCCCGTTTATTATTGTTGTGGATAAGAGTGACTGTTTTTGTCAATGTTTCACACCGTTCGATATATTAGTACTTTAAAATCTAGTTTTCTGCAACTGCAATTCATTCAAATGAGTGTTTTTTTTTTTAAAGGTATGAGCTCGGAAGACAGCCCGCTAACACAAAGTTATCGAGCAACAAGACCGTTCGCAGAGTGAGGGTCCGTGGAGGTAATGTCAAGTGGCGAGCATTGAGGCTGGACACAGGGAACTACTCGTGGGGTAGTGAGGCCGTGACCCGAAAGACTCGTATTTTGGATGTTGTGTACAATGCGTCTAACAACGAGCTGGTTAGGACACAGACTTTGGTTAAGGGTGCAATTATCCAAGTCGATGCTGCGCCTTTCAAGCAGTGGTACCTTCAGCATTATGGAGTGGACATTGGCCGCAAGAAGAAGGCCGTCGCCAAGAAGGAAGGAGAGGTGATGACTGATTTTCGTGCTCTTATTTTCTTCAATTTGATATTTGTTTAGATACCTTATTATTGTCATTGTAGTTGCTGCTGCCATTTGAATACTTGGTTTAATGGAGTGAATGAATGTTATGCTTGATAATTGACACTGGGTTTAGTTTAGTATTCGTTAGGGTGTCATTAGGGAGAAGTGATAGCCTTCCAAAAATAAAGCATAAACAGTGTTATCTGCAAGTAATGGGCTCTTTAGACAAAATTTTTATTATTTTCTTTTTCATTTTATTTTCCAACTGGGTGTTTACATTTAATAAGGTATGATGTTGTTTTCTTTAGGAGAATGAGACTGCTGCTACTGAAGAGGTAAAGAAGAGCAACCATGTCCAAAGAAAACTCGAAAAGCGTCAGCAGGATCGTAAAATCGATCCTCATATTGAAGAGCAATTTGGCGGTGGCCGTTTGTTGGCAGCAATCTCCTCCCGCCCTGGCCAGTGTGGGCGTGCTGATGGGTACGTATTTGTCTCTGCATTTTCATCTAAACTCTCATGGGCTATTAGATTATGAGATCTCAACCTTGATTTTCTTGTTTGGCAATATATGTGCCGTGCTTATATCCCTACATTTACGATCTGATTATAGTATGATGATAACAGCAATTAGCTATTGGCTATGTTTAAATCTTAATAATGCTGTTGATGTATAGTGAAAAGATAGTTATACTTGCACTATTGAAGATGGCTCACGGCGTCGATGAATTTTTTCGGCTATATGCATTGAAAGTGCCTATCAATTGTCTTTTTTTTTTTTTGTTGAGTTCGATGTTTGGTATATGTTCTTTTTGGCTACACAGTTATATTCTGGAAGGCAAGGAACTGGAATTTTACATGAAGAAACTTCAGAGGAAGAAAGGAAAGAGTGCAGGGGGCGCCTAAGTAATTTTCCATTTCAGCACAACCTTTTTTCTTCTTGTTATTTTGCCTTGTGATTTGCTCAGAGCACATCTGTTTTCTTGCATGAGCTTTTAATTTTATAGTGATGGTGAACGATTACCAGTTGTCGCTTATGTTTTGATATTTTATGTAGAATCAAATATACTTTTGTTCTCCATTGTTGCTGATCAATTGCTTTTAACCACTATTTTGTCTGCTAATCTTCTCATTTTGCCGTCAATATTTTTACTTTGAAATGATATTGGCACCCACAGATTAATCAGAGGTATAAATATCGATGTATCATCATGAAAAATAAAAAGTATACAAACAAATCAAGAAATAAGCCATTTTTTACAACCAAGTAATACGAATGGAGCCATTGACACAACGATATTCTTTCACTGTTGGCTATGTTACCTTGATTTTGGCTAGTCTTGTGTGGCCCTGGCTCGACTAGTTTTTTTAATTATTAGCTTGGCTCAATGAGTAAAGACTCTGTTCAACTCGAGTTTGGTTTGTCTTCTTTGACAGGGGTGTGGTTGGATATGGATTTGATTTGGTTTCGATTGTTTTGTTTTCTTAGTTAACTATAGGTAATTTTAAAAAATGTGGTATGGTGAGTTGTTAGTGAGATTTTAAGTTCTATATTAAAATAATATTTGAAATAAAATAATTAAAGTTAGTTTGATGTAAAATCATGAGAGAGACAATGTGGGGAGAAGGTAAGTTAAAATTATGTGAGTGCATGAATTGTGAATTAAAGTTGAGTGATGTGTAAGATGATTGATTGATATTATTTAGTTATATTGATAATATATTGAGAATGCTAGAATTGAGTTAAAGTTGCGTTACAAAAAATGATTGAGTTAAAAATAATTAGTTTTTTTTGGGGTTGGATCCATATTCAATCACACTCTAAATGTGTTGATCTCAACTCAATTGGTTTTTTAAAGGTTAGATTAGCTTGATGAGTTAAGGCTTGATCAAAACCTTTATCTCTTAGGATGTTAAACTATTCAATTGCTTGCTCAATTGAACAGTTCGTGAACTCGGCTTTGTTCAACTTGACTTTGACTTATCTTGTTGATAAACAAGTTAACCTTGACTCAACTAGTTTCTTGAATTATTAGTTTAGCTCGACAAGTAAAGGCTCTATTCAGCTAGAGTTTGGTTTGTCTTGTTTGATAAATGAGTTTGACCTCAACTTTATTAGTGTTTTGGACGATAGCTTGACAAGTTAATGTATGATTTCAAAATTTATCTCTTGTAGATCTGTCAAAGGATTGAATTGCATGTACAACTGAACCATTTGCGGGATCAACTATGTTCATCTTAACTACGAATTGTCTTGTTGATAAACAACTCGACCTTGGTTCAACTAGTTTATTGTATTATTAGCTTAGTTCGACGAGTATAGACTCTGCTCAGTACGAGCTTGGTTTGTCTGTTGGATAAACGAGTTAATTTCAAGTCAATTAATTCTTTGAACGATTAACTTAACTTGAAGAGTAAGGTCCATTTCAGCTCGTTAATTTTGATATTGGGTTCGACTTAAACTTATAAAATGCATTACTACCTTCGTGACAATTTAGTTGATTACATTTGGCCAAGTTTGTTACCAACTAAAAATAAAATAAAATTATTTCCAAAATATTTTTATTAACCTTAATTTAAATTTTTGTCGTACTTTCACGCATCTAATATTAATTTTTTTAATTTTAACAATTCTACATATTTTTTTAATTAAAAATAGAATGTAACAATAATATTTAATAGATGGATAATACATTTTTCACATGTATTCATATTTAAATGCATTAATTATTAATAAATATATAAATAAAGAAGTATTTAGGGAAAGATGACTGATACTACTGTTGAAGCCGTGAAGGCTCTACTGCTTACGATAAGGAATTTTGGAGAGAG